GTGTGATTCCTCAAAACTCTTATTGTTTTGAGACTGTTTTTGTGGCTCTCAGTAGCGTGCGATGCCATCATAGCTCATGGCAATCTCAAATTCCTGGCCTCAGGTGATTCTCTTGCCTCAGCCTCCCTGGTAGCTGGGACCACAGGAGCCTACTACAATGCTGTTTTTATTTTTACTTTATTTATTTATTTATTCTTGAAATAGAGTCTCACTATTTTGCCCTTGGTAGTGTGCTGTAGCATCACAGTTCATAGCAACCTCCAACTCTTGGGCTTAAGCGATTCTCTTGCCTCAGTCTCCTAAGTAGCTGGGACTACAGGCACCCACCACAATGCCTGGCTATTTTTTTGTTGCAGTTCTTTAGCTGGCCTGGGCTGAGTTTGAACCCATCACCCTCGGTGTGTGTGGCTGGCGCCCTAACCATTGTGCTATTGGCACTGAGCCACCAACCTCAAACTCTTGAGGCTAAGCAATTATATACATGTGGTGCATGTCCGATCTATGATGAGTAGGTCAACTTGAGGTGGTCGATGTAGGGAGGTGCTGAGCTATGGATATTCTGCTGTATTTAGTCCAACAGACCCACCCTACTATGTTATGAGGGAATATCTGTTTATGAGTCTCAATTTCCTTTTTAGTTTTTTGTGATTGGTAGGAGCATTTTCTGGGTTTTTTGTTGTTGTTGTTCAATTTCATTTAAAGTTTACCCTTATGTGATATTATCTTACCACACTCCCTAATTGAGAGTAAGAAGAAAGGGTTACACTGATGAAACAGTATCAAACTATTAAGTGATTCTCTTGCCTCAGTCCCCCCACTACCACAATGCTCAGCTATTTTTGTTGTTGGTGTTGTTTTAGCAGGCTGGGGCTGGGTTCAAACCTGCCAGCCCAATGTACATGACCAGCACCCTAGCCACTGAACTACAGGCAAAGAGCCCACAACGCTATTTTTAGAAACAGGGTCCCACTATTGCTCAGACTGGTCTCGAACTCCTGAGCTCAAGGGATCCATCCACCTTGGCCTCCCAGAGGGCTAGATTACAGGTCTGAGGTACTGCACCTGGCCTTCTCCAAAAAAGTTTTCATCATGCCTAGCCTTCTCTGAATTTCTTGATTTCTTGCTTAATCCCCAAATGACATTTATTCTTAATTTTTTTTTTTTTTTTTTTAATGAGACAGGGTCTTGTTCTGGTGCCCCAGACTAGTTTCAAACTCCTGGCCTCAAACTATCAAAGTGTTGGGATTACATGTGAACCACGGTGCCCTGTCTTATTAACAATTTTAGATGTTTGAACAGGCACCCTGTAATACTTAATTCTTTTTTTAAATTATTTTTTATTAAATCATAACTTTGTACATTGATGCATTTATGGGGTTCAGGGTACTGCTTTTTCTTTTCTTTTTTGGCCAGGGCTAGGTTTGAACCTGCCACTTCTGGCATATGGGGCCGGCACCCTACTCCTTTGAGCCACAGGCGCTGCCCAGGTACTGATTTTTCTTAATTCTTGTGATATTAAATTAACCAGTCTTGAGTTCCCACACTGTGCCCTCCCCCATGCTAGGAATGTTAAACGTGAAAAGTAAACAGTTTCACCATCCCTGTAATCACAAGGCATGCAGAAAAATAAAGGTGGCCTTTTTCTCATCCTTAGCTTTCACCTAAAGCCAGAAACAGAATGAAAAACACAAAGAAACAATACCTCTCTGAGCATACCGAGGCTTTCTGAGGCTATCAGTTTAAATAACAGCTCCTTCGGCATACTGGCTCACACACAAAAGGGTATCAGGTTTCCTACTGCAGTATTGCTCATAATAGCAAAAAATTAAAAGAAACCTAAAGCTCCAATCAACAGGAAACTGGTTAAATAAATAAGATATGAGATAATGAATTATACAACTGTTAATGTACTGATATGGAATATCCAAAGTATAATCTCCATGATATCTAAGTACAAATCTATGGGCAAAAAGCAAGGTACAGAAGTTTGTATGATATGCTACAATTAGTTTCATGCTTAGAATAGCTTACACAGATACTTAAAATGGACCTGGAACGACTTAAGAAGCTGGTAACATTGGTTGCTTTTATGAAGGTGAACTGGAAGTATAAGAGACAGAAGAGACTTCATTGTATACCCATTTAAATTCTGAGCTGCGTTGATATACTATTTTTTAAAATATAAAATTAAAAATGATCAAAAGATTTTAAATTCAAGGTCATGGAGTCAAGATTTCAAAATTTTATGCTTCATCACTCCCTACTAAAATATTTTTAAGAAATTTGTGGTTTGAACTGACCATTCTAAATGTTTGACTACCTTTTATGTATTTAACAAATTATTAATCAGTTTTTCCATCATTAATAATTTGTTAATATTTAACATCAGTTCAATCCCCTTAACATGTATGCCAATGATTGTGAATTGTTTTTTATTACCATTCACAAATTACTATATCTCTACCTTTCCGCAGCAGAAAAACATCATATTGTTATTTCTAAAACATCATTTTGTTATTTCTAGAAGAATCCTCAGGCTCCGTCCTTCTCCAGAAAAGTGCTGCCCTCTGCTGTCTCTCATGATAATGACAATTGGAAAATTTCCTCCATTTTGTAGCAGGGTGGGTCTGTTGCACTAAATACAGCAGAACATCCATAGCTGACCACCTCCCTTCATCGAACACCTCAAGTTGACCATCAGATAGGACGTGCACCACATGTATGTATCAGTACAGCAGACGTACTCCCTTAGGTTGACCACGACCAGTTTGTTACAGTCCTTTGGGTGGTCTGTAGGAAAGAATATTCACGACCCTGATAAAGAGTACAGCCATCTTGTGAGGACAGCGAGTGAAAGAAAGCAAGTCAAATGGCATGATCACAGCAACCCCTCCCCACGCTCCTGAAATGCTTCAAGGCCAGTGATCCTGGGAAACATCAGAACAAGCTGACACTAGAAATAAGGCCCCGTACAAAGGTGCAAAGAAGATTAACATTTCTGCAGAAGTCCCTGACACATTCGCTCTGCAGAAAAAGATGACTTCCTTCACCTCTCATAAGCCCCTCTTGCATTCCAATTACACTAATAAAAGTCCCTTGGGGAGAACGAGGGACGGAGGGGGGTTGGTGTGCCCCTACCTACTGCGCACAATGTAAGCGTATACGGCACACCTCCTGGATGCAGGACGCAGTTCCTCGGAGACCTTACCTAACAAATGCAAATATTGTAACCTGGTCATTTGTACCCTCATGTTAATCAGAAAAAAAGAAGTCTCTAGACTCCACTCTGCTATTTCTTTTGTTACTGTTGTTGTTGAGAGTCCCACCCTACTCCTTGAGCAGAGTTCAATACCGTCATAGCTCAATGCAACCTCAGACTCGCCGCTGCCTCCGAAGCCGCGGGGATTATAGGCGTTTGCCTGCGGGCGCCCGGCTGGTTTTTTCTTTTCTTTCTTTTTCTTTTTTTTAAATGAGTCGGGGTCTCACTCTTGCTCAGGCAAGTCTCCCTCCTCAGCTTCTCACTGTGCTGGGATTACAATCATGAGCCACCGCGCGCAGCCACTCTGCCATTTTCTAATAAAGCCTTTCCTTAATTCCCCGGGCTGGTCCTTCTTGTGGACCCTCACCTACTCTACCCCTAGACCTCTCATGGCCAATTTACAGAGGTTCTACTGTATTGCTTAGAGATCTTGCATAACAATTGATCGCATGAAATAATGACATTATCTTTCTCTTCTTGCTGTTTTTTTTTTTGAGTGCTTGTGGCCTTGTCAGCCATAGCCCACAGCGAGAAGCCAGGAAGAACTACAGGCACCCACCACAATGCCTGGCTAATTTTTCTGTTTTAGGAGACCAGTAGGCTGATCTCCAACTCCTTTAATTCAGGCAATTCACTGACCCCAGCCTCCCAGGTTGCCAGGATTACAGGAATGAGCTATTGTGTCTGGCTTATTATTTTCTTCCTTTTAGAGACAGGTTCTTGCTCATCTCCCAGACTAAAGTGTAGCAGTATCGTCATAGCTCACGGCAACCTCCAACTCCTGGCCTCAAATGTTCTTACATCAACTTCTCAAAGTGCTAGGATTACAGGGATCCTGTAATCCATGGCACCCAGCCTTATCTTTATAACCAAACCAGTTTCCCATATTCAGGGTAGTCACAACATAAAATCAGATTGAAAGGAAATAACCTTATCCTATGATTAAATTGATCTAAAACAAATCATTTAGTATCTTTAGCCCTTATTTACAAAATATGACAGACCTTTAGATACTGGCAATTTCTGTATTGTAATTTTGCAAATAGTGTAAAAAAAAAGAATGTTAGATATATTCCCAATTGTTAAGATGCAGCTGCTTCCAAGGCATAGTAACTTTGACTATCACTTAACTAACCTCACCTCAGTATTTACTTGCAGCACTGGGGTTTATCAGGTTTCCAGATTCAAGCTAAGTATCCTACCTCCGTACACAAGTACCTTCTGAACCCTCACAGCAAAGTGAAGTTTATCTGGGAAGTAACTGTTAACCTACACAATCACCTCCCCCCACCCTGGACGTGCTACTTCATCACAGTGCCAACATTTACATTTAAGTTTTACCTTTACACAAAGACCTTTAACTTTAAATTTGCAACATTTATGTTAATAAGTGGTTATAATTCATGATGTAGTCTGGGGAGCTGTCCTTAACAGAATTTCCTTCCCCTGGATGAAGTTGCCTCTAGTATCATTATCATTTCCTTATTTCCTAATGGCTAACATTTTTAAGGGAGAATCAGACTTATTTTTTAGTCAACGGCAACACTGGGTTAAAACAAATAACATCACCAGCATTATGCCGAGGGATCACGAAGAGCACAGAATTGCACTGTAATTGCTAAATGTCCAACAAGAATACAGAACCAAATTGTTACTTCCTTAGGAATTACATATCTATTACTTTCCCTCAAAACGAAAGGAATATATATAACCCCCATCAAACAGATTCAAAAGACAAGGGTTATCTTTCAAGCTTTTATTTTAAGTGCAGATGGATCTCAGATCTTGTTGAAAGCAGCCACGTCCATAGACTGCACATAATCCTCAAAAGCAGTGATCCGTTCCTCCAGCATATCAGTTCCTACTTTGTCATCTTCAACTACACACTGTATTTGAAGTTTTTTAATTCCATATCCCACTGGAACTAGTTTAGCTAAAAAGAACATGAAGAAAAATCTTAGTTAGAAAAGTCCTACTGATTGACAAGGTTAAAACTGTGTATCAATTCCAGACGTCAGTTTCAAAAAAAAAAAGCAAAGACTAAACTCACAGGATCCCCAGACCAAGCCGTCTGCTTGAATGCTTCTGACACACTCCTCTAATTTTGCCATATCTGTCTCATCATCCCAAGGTTTCACATCTAATAAAATGGAAGACTTGGCAACAAGAGCAGGTTCTAATAACAAAAAAAAAACATTATTCAAATACCACATATTTTTTCACACTATTTCAAGACACTCAATAAATCTCAATTTGTTTTAAAATGGTCCATCTCCTTAGCCAAACAAAACTGCAGAATACATCTTCTGTCTGTCACACGTATACCCACTTTCTGTTTTGCTAAGAAAGAGGTATTTAACTGTGTTAACAGTTTCTTTCCCACAGAGGAATGCCACAACTGTTACATAAGAACAGCTGCAGACCAGTAGCTGTGGATGTTTTATCAAGAACCTCTACATAATGTTTTAAAATACTGACCTAATTCAACAAGTGTGTTAGAAATTACTCTGGGGCTAAGTTTTAAAAAAGATTACTCTCATTACTATGAAAGGAAGTTAAATACAAATTATAAAATGACCTACTTTTGGCTTTCTTTGATTCATACTGTGCAAGACGTTCTTCCCGTAGTCTTTTTGCTTCTTCACTTTCCTGAAAAGAAAAATTTTAATACATTTCAAAAAGCTGGTTGTTCTATTTACAGCTAGCAGGGTCATCACAAAAAAGACCAGCTTTATCAGAAAAAAGCAAATCCATCACCAGCTCAGCCGAAAGATGGTGATTTGATTTTATTCATCATGGAACCAGTGAGAATGTTTAAAAGGCAGATAAAAGTGAAGCTAGTACTCAAATCCAGCCAATTTGGTTATGGGGTCCATGCTTACACACAACATCCTGCCTACCAATTTATAATCTTCTAAAAGATGTCATACCTCTTCATCATCAGATCCAAAGAGATCAATGTCATCGTCATCTTTACTATCTGTCCCTCCATTTCCTGTAGTGTCTTCCACATCAGCAGGGCCGTACTTGCCCAAAGCTTTCTTCACTCCTGGCAGGCTTGAAATAAATCAAATTTGCCACCATTAGGTTGATACAATGTTCTTTTCTAGACAATACATGAAAACTTGTTTCCATCT